TATAACCCTAAAACCTGCATGAACACCTCCGGGCAGCCTTTTTGCGACTCCTTCACCAAAGCTACGTCCTCCCCTCCGCTAACCGCAGAGCTGGACTTCGGACGCTTGAAGCTGCAGGCTGAAAGGTGCTTCTTAGTCGTCAGGGTTTCAGCGGCCCAGGGTTTAAGGGTTTGGGGCTTAGGGTTTGTTAGAGTTGAAGAGGTCCAGGGTTACGGGCTTGGACCTTGTAGGGCTTCTAGGCCTGTTTACGTCCAACCTTTCTTTTTTAAGTAGACGTCCCAGTGCGCAAGCGTGTGACAGGCTGTTGGTTGGAGGGACGCTAAAGCCTAAATCCAAACCCAAAACCCCAAACCCCAAACCCTAAACCCTAAACCCTAAACCCTAAACCCAAAACCCAAAACCTTAAACCCTAAACCCTAAACCCGCAAACTGTCCATCTTTCTCGCTCAGGGGTGCTTGGGGTCTACCTGCCCTGCTACCAAGACCTAACCAAGCCCGAAGCCTACAACCTGCAACTGCTAGACCCTACATGCAAGGCCTAGACCCTAGGGTTTAGAGTTTAGGGTTTAGGGTTTAGGGTTTGGGGCGTAACCCTAACCTCTACAAGTCCGAAGCCCCATGAATACGCCCTGAACTGGCACATCATAAGGTTGGTAAAGGGTTTAAGGTTTAGGGTTTAGGGTTAAGGGTTTAGGGTTAAGGATGTAGGGTTTAGGGCTTAGGGTGCGGTTGATACGTCTCAGGGATGTTCAGGGCGCTAGGGAATATGATCCGGGCCAGATGGGCAACCCTGAAGCAAGAAGGGGTGTGCACTGCCCTGAAACATGTAGGTTTACGAAGATAGGGGACCCGAAGTCGAGGCCCCCTAAAGAGTAGGAATTCCCTTATCATGAGGACCCTAAACCCTAAACCTTAAACCCTGAACCCTAAACCCTAAACCCTAAACCCCAGACCCTAAACCCTAAACCCTAAACCCCTACATCAAGCTGTCCAGCACTGCGACGCTGCGTAACAAGTGCCCGGCAATCCTAAGCCGGGGCCAAAACATTGCGTTCCGCCAGCAGTGTGTACAAGAAGATGGCCCTCTTCAAGAAGCTACGTTGCGTTTAGGGTTTAGGGTTTAGGGTTTAGGGTTTAGGGTTTAGGGTTTAGGGTTTAGGGTTTAGGACTTAGGGTTTAGGGTTTAGGGTTTAGGGTACAGGGTTTAGGGCTTAGGGTACAGGGTTTAGGGTTGCTGTTGCCCTTCCGTGCGCTGGGTGGCCAAGAGATGCCAGCCCAAACGGAAAAACATCCCCAACAACCTGAAAAAACCTACAGACCCTAACAAAAACCCAGAACCCCCCAAAACCCTATCAACTCTACTAAAAAACCTATAAACCATAAAACCCTAAAAGCCCTCTAAAACCTGAAAGACCCATGAACCGCCAGAAACCTTTAAAACCCCATAAACCCTAGAAAGCCTACAACTCCACTTGCATCCTAAGCCCTCAGGGTTTGGGGATGAAGAGAGCCCTGAACACGCAGTGGCCACTGCGGTGGCACAAGCAGCCACTCAGAGCGAAGCACCATGCGCAGCCAGACCTGAGTGGGCCAGAACAAGCAGAGCCTCACAGCCCTCAACCCTACCTTATATGAAGTAGGGTATATATTTTTTGTACCCCCAAAAGGACACCAGGTATAAACACTCACCAATATTAAAAAGGAACCTTATATACACTCACCAATAACAGTAATATATACCCTGCTTCATATCCTTCGCAACCAATCTACAAGTTCTCTCTGTGTCGGGTTTTCCGCAACCTCTCTAAAACCCTATACCCAGATTGTGAACAAGATTTAGGGCTGCAAGGAATCAGGGATTTTCGGCAAAGAAGCCCTTGGCCGTAGGCTATCAGTAGGCCTGCAGGTAACCTGCACGCAGGCCTACGGTAGGCCTACTTAGGCCAGTAGGTTGGCTACCATAGGGCCTTGTGGCAGAACCGTAGGATTAGGGCTAGCCTATGATTAGGCGGGGCTTCTATACGGTCAGGTCTCTAGACTATGCTCCCTTTTGGGGGTGCCCTCAATATTAGGTACTCGTGACCCAAAAAAGGGACGATAACTTAGAGAACTGCCCATATGGGGCTTTCGGAATTTCAGGGTTCTAGGAGCCCTGGGCTTCGTGCCGAAGCTTTGCCACGGAGAGCGTATTTCTTGATGCGGTTCGGGCCGAGATTCACTGGCTCGCACCTGCCATGGGCCGAGGAACCCTACAGCACCCCCAAGTTCAACCCTAAACCCCAAACGCTAAACCCTAAACCCTAAACCCCAAAACCCTAAGCCCTAAACCCAAATTTTAGGGGACGGGGTGGAAGTGGAGAGAGGTGGGAAGGGGAAGTCGCAGCTAGCAAAAAGTACGGGTCAGCTGTCTGGCTGATGGGGTTGGGGGTTCCTATCCTTTGAAGCGTTAGGGGATGATCAATTTTTGAGTCACTGGCGCCGATCCACATGACTTTCATTTAGGGTTCAGGGCTTAGGCTTTGGAGTTAACTTGAGACCTATCCCAAAGCATCGCAATGCATGCCGGGCGCCTCTCCCGTCATTGGGTCCAGGACTGAAATCGGCGTTCAGCATTGAGGGATTAGGGTTTGGGGCTTGTGGAGCTTGGCTTTTGGGATGGTTTCAGAGCGACTGGGCCGGGATTCCCATGTCTAGGTCCGTGTGAGGTGTAGGGTTCTGAGATTCTGAGAGCCTCGGCTAGGGGGAAGGGGGGTGGGTGTTTGCGTTTCTTTTTTTAGGGTCTTTGGCCATCGGGGGGGGGGGGGGGGGTTTCGGTACCAGGATGCCCCCACCAAAGCTGGCTCCAGGATTAGGGTTTGGCCAGGTGCAGGGCGGACTGTGAATGAGCAACTGCAGGGTTAGGCGAGGGTTTAGGGGTTTGGGGGGTTTAGGGTTTAGGGATCCTAAACCCCAAACCCCGGGTTTCGAGGCTAGGGTTCGTTCTGCTTTGTGGGGTTTAGGGTTTAGGGTTTAGGGTTTAGGGTTGGCTTAGGTAGAACGGGAACCTGGCATCCAACAAATGGTGTCGGCTCAAAACTCAATGCGTATCCTGAATCTAACAACTAAACCCTAAACCCTACACTCCTGAACCCCAGACACTAAACCCTAAACCCTAAATCCTAAACCCTAAATCCTAAACCCCAAACCCTAAACCCTAAACCCTAAACCCCTGTCCGCAAAAGAGCCCTAAGATGGGTGTTCGTTGTCAATGCGGTTCCCATTCAAACGCGCGCAACTCTGGGGATCGGAAGAACACAGGCCAGTTTCAGCGAGGGTTCAGGGTTCAGGGTTCAGGGTTTAGGGTTTAGGGTTTAGGGTTTGGGGTTTAGGGTTTAGGGTTTAGGGTTTGGGGTTTAGGGTTTAGGGTTTTAGGTTTTAGGGTTTAGGGTTTAGGGTTTGGGAGTGAAGGGTTGAGAGAAGCCCTGGGGTGTGGAGATCCGCTGCGATGCCCGCGGTTTAGGATTTGGGGGTTTGGGGTTTGGGGTTCCGGCTTCTGAAAGCAGGTCTTAGGAATGAGGGTGGGGCAGATGCAACTTTGCGACTCGAGCTTTGAAGCACTTGCAGCCGCTCATGAAGCCCAGGAATGCGACTCATGTTTTGATTCATGCTGAGACCTTGGCACCCTAAACCCTAAACCCTAAACCCTAAACCCTAAACCCTAAACCCTAAACCCTAAACCCTAAACCCTAAACCCTAAACCCTAAACCCTAAACCCCTAGCCGGAAACCGATTTACGTCGACGCGGAGCCCCAATGGCAAGCCCATTGCCAAGCTCCAGGCGAGCTTTGTTTGCCGGCAGGTGCGTCCTCACCGCTCAGGGTTTGGGGTTTGGAAGGAAAGCCCTATAATATAGGGGTCGGAATCATTGCTACTATAGTATTGCCTTAGAGGCCTTTGATAAATCTCCTACAACAACCCCCAACGCCTTATCAGGCCCCATATACTAAACAGCTAATACCGGGCGTGTCGGCCGTGACGATTATGATGAGCTCTGGGGCTCAGGCACTCCTCGAGGAACCCCAGTCAAACCCTTAAAACCAAGAACTCATTCTTACTACGACTGCTTTAAATTGGACCGATGATAGTTAGCCATATATATATATATATACAGCCCAAACACAACCCTGAACTCTAAACCGTACACCCTAAACCCTTAACTCTAAACACTTAACTTAACTAAACCCTAAACCCTAAACCCTAAACCCTAAACCCTAAACCCTAAACCCTAAACCCTAAACCCTAAACCCTAAACCCTAAACCCTAAACCCTAAACCCTAAACCCTAACCCCACCGGCACCCCTCCCATCCCACCCCGAAACGCTGCACGGCGCTGTGCGCCTCTGCCGCAGCAGTGGCTCCGCCCCCGCCGCCCTGAGCACCTGGCATGGGAAGCTTGTTGGCCTGAACCCCCATACACCCGGAACCCTCATCCCTAAACCCTAAACCCTAAACCCTAAACTCTAAACCCTAAACCCTAAACCCTGAACCCGAACCCTGTAAACCCTGAATTCATGGGAGTTCTGGGCTTCGGGGTAGATCTGGTGAGCACCTGCGAGACTGAGACAGCTTCAACAATACGCCCCAGGCGCACCGAGCAGGCACAGAAGCCTTTAGGGTTTAGGGTTTAGGGTTTAGGGTTTAGGGTGTAGGGTGTAGGGTTTAGGGTTTTTTCCACAAGCGCACTGTGCCAGCTCTGCATGCTGCAGTCGAAGGCAGCGAAGAGGCTGCTTGTACCAGCTCGGCACGGGGAACATGCTGTGTCGAGGTTGGCATGGACCTGCGTGCACAGCGTGCCCTGCACTCCGCCAGCTGCAGCCCGAATATTTCTTTCGTTCTTCCAGGGAGTTTCTCGACACACCACAGGAGTTCGGCAGTCGCTCATATCCAGGTTCGAACCGCTGGCAGGACACACTCAACGCCAGTGCCGGAGATGGGATGTGCTCATGTCCGCCATGACATACTCAGCATCTTGCTGTAGCTGCCTCCGAGCTTACGCATTGCTGGCCGTAGGGCGTATCAATGCAAGTGCCTCACTGCCACGGCGACTGAACGAGCAAAAGCAGTATCATTCGAATCCTCTTGCCATGGAGGCTAATCAGACCCTATGTAAACCCTGTGCCCCCCGAACCCTAAACCCCAAACCCAACACCCAAAACCCTAGATGTATATTTCTGTGTGTAGATATGACCCAAAACCCTAGATGTATATTTCTGTATGTACATATTCACACACGTTTGAAGGATAGAAGCACTTCGAAGACGAGGATCTCAAGCGCTTGAGGTCCCAAAGGTAATCAGCCCAGCTCACTGCCTGGCCAGCTGCTTCCTCACAGCTAGGCTTAGGGGTCAGGGTTTCTAGGGTTTAGGGTTCAGGGTTTTAAGGTTCAGGGCCATTAAAATAAATGTGTCACATTTCGGCAACATGTCCGCTATGTATCTCCAATTTAGTTGTTCTCGGGTTTAGGGTTTAGCGTTTAGGGTTATGGGTTAAGGGTTTAGGGTTTGGGGTTTAGAGTTTAGGGTTTAGGGCCTGCGGCGTTTAATTAGGGGTCTGTGGTGAGAAGGGCTGCTATAAGGTTTGTAGCCTGCAGTGTCGCCAAGCATGTCCTTGTAGAGGTCGTCGGAGGGGATCAAGTATTTGGCTACGCGATTCCTCACCGCCACGCGCCCAGGTTCGATCAGACTGTATGCATTGATGACCTGCAGGGCACAGGCCCTATAAACCCTACACCATAAACCTAAAGGATCCAAAAACATGCAGACGGCTACAGGCTCTTGTTTAGGGACTTGGAACATGAAAACCCTAAATTTTATCAACCCCCTAAACCCTAAGCCCCAAGTTTGTTTTCTTTCAAAGGCAGCTCCTATAGACCCTGTCCTTTAGTACCTCAGGCCCTGAGGTCGCCTTTGAACCACGGATGCTAGAATCCTTATCCTAAGGCTGAATCCTAAAATCAGGGAAAAAGAGCCCATTCTAGTATCTTGCCCAGTATAAGAATCAAGTGTGCTCTCAAGCTCCTCGACCCTCTTTGGATACCCGAAGCATGAAAAATATGGGACCCTTGCAGGTGGTAGCCCCACAAGGGACCATAAAGCAGAGAACCATACCTTAAGAACCCCAAACCTACTTTTTTTAGGTTCCCTCAGAATCCTATAAGGGATATACTAAGAACCTACAAAAACCGTAGGTTTGGGGTTCTTAAGGTAGGGGTTTCTGAGGGCCTCGAAGTCTCCCGAGCTGTCCAGCTCACCATCTGTGAAAATGGTCTGGCGGAACCTTCGTAGTAGGGATTTGCGGCATTTGTGGGTTTGTAGGGTTTGAGGGGTTTGTATAGTTTAATATAGGGCTTACTGTATCTACAGGTGGTACGTAGGGACTTGCGTTTTTGGGGGGTTCATAGGGTTTAAGGGGTTTACATCGTTTATAGGGCTTATCTACCGGAAGCCCTCAATTCGCCCAATCCCAGCAAAACTCCCAGGCTTCCCGAAAGCTTTAGGAATGGCGGGCTTTCGGTTTTGGGCCTTTGGTGATGCAACCTAGAACTCAGGCACTCAGATGCCCTGAAAGCTGGGAGGCAGTTCGGAAGAAATGAACTCGATCTCCTGCACCTGCTGCGTCCGGCTGGCTTCCAGCTTCAGCACGACGCTCCGGATGAGCTCCTCATCCTCCTGATGGCTAAAAAGGGGATTGCAATACTTATAGCCATGATAGCGAGGCCCTATAAACCCTAAACCCTAAACCCCAACCCCCAAACCCCAAACCCTAAACCCTATAGCAAGCCTCACCGAGGGCTAGAGGGGCTAGTTTAGGTTGCGAGAAGTCCCGGCGAGAAGCACCCGCAGAAGAATACCCCGAAGCCCCAGCAGAACAAGCCTCCCCCAAGCGAAGTTCCTAAACAAGACTCGGAGGGCATCGGGCTTGTTGGATTGTGGTGCTTGGGGTTCCTGGTCTAGAAACCCTAAACCCTAAACCCTAAACCCTACATCCTAAACCCTAAACCTTAAACCGTAAACCCTAAACCCTAAAGGGTTCTTGAGCCGCTTCTTAGCGGTGGTGGGCCACCGTAGCCTTTGTGCTTCGGCGGCCCCTCTTCTTGGGAAGGAGGCTCGGGTGTGCAACATGAGTGAAAAGCCAACATGACTCAGAAAGCTCACAAGTCCCAACAGCTTCGAAAGCAGTTCATGTTTAGGGTTTAGGGTTTAGGGTTTAGGGTTTGGGGTTTAGGGTTTAGGGTTTAGGGTTTAGGGTCCCCCCCCAACAAAAAAAGAGCCTCAGCCCCCCCAAGAGGTTTGTGGGGTTCAGGGAGTCGGGCCTCGACAGTCACTGGGAAGGAGACAGAGATCTGCAAAGGCTTCTCGCGGGGGTCTGCATCTGCGACCACCCGCGGCACGCCCTGTTTCAGGAACGCCGACATCTCTTGTCCGGCGTTGTAGGCGCCTTGGTATGGAGGCTTCGCGGTTTAGGGTTTAGGGTTTAGGGTTTAGGGCTTAGGGTTTAGGGTTTAGGGCTTAGGGTTACTGAGCTGCAAGTATCTGCGGGATGTCTGACGTGCCGTTAAGCTCGTAGCTTATCGCCTGCACGAGGCTCTTGTGACATGATCAGGATCATCTGACCTAACCGCCGGAGAATGTAAGAGGACCAGAGGCATGATCCTCTGAGACAAGCAAACAAATCCAACACCCCACGCGTTTAGGGTTTAGGGTTTAGGGTTTAGGGTTTAGGGTTTAGGGTTTAGGGTCTCTCAACCCTAAACCGTATGGAGCCTAAACCCTAAAAAGGCCGGGGATCAGGATGCACGAGCTTAGGGTTTGGGGCTTTGCCGGGCCTAATCTTAACTAAGGGCCTATTCGATTGGCATATGGGTACCTTGGGTTGCGTAGCCTATGCTTCAATTGCAAAGAGTGTAGGAGGGGCTAACCCTAAACCCTAAACCCTAAACCATGAAACTACATAAGTATTCCGGCTCCTACACTAGCGCATCTGGGGTGAATCGGGCCAGAGGAGCAAGTGTTCTCCGGATTGCTGGGAGGATCCAACTAGTAGATCCCTGACCCTAAACCCTAAACCCTAAACCCTAAACCCTAAACCCTAAACCCTAAACCCTAAACCCTAAACCCTAAACCCTAAACCCTAAACCCTAAACCCTAAACCCTAAACCCTAAACCCTAAACCTTGCTTAGCGTACTATTTGGGGGTGCTACTGTTGGAGTCCTCCCAGGGTTCTGGGTCTCAGTGCTAGCTGAGATCGTACTACTTTCCCAAGTCGCGAGTCCGAAGCAGAACTCCCTCCCCCCCCCCCCCCCCCCCCCCCCCCCCCCCCCCCCCCCCCCCCCCCCCCCCCCCCCCCCACCCCCCCCATCATCCTGAACGCTACGGCTCAATTCCTAAACCCTAAACCCTAAGCCCCCAATCCAAAACCCTAAACCCTAAACCCTAAACCCTAAACCCTAAACTGACCCTAAACCCTAAAACCCGAAACCCTAGACCGGAAGCCGGCCCGGGCGCGGAACTGGACCACCTTTGCTGGGCAGCTCTCGGCCAGAGCCGGAAGCGCCAGCCTTGGAAAAGAAGCCCACAAGGAGATTTTGCGGCTTGGGTTAGGGTTTAGGGTTTAGGGTTTAGGGTTTAGGGTTTAGGGTTTAGGGTTTAGGGTTTAGGGTTTAGGGTTTAGGGTTTAGGGTTTAGGGTTTAGGGTTTAGGGTTTAGGGTTTAGGGTTTAGGGTTTAGGGTTTAGGGTATTAGGGTTTAGGGTTTAGGGTTTAGGGTTTAGGGTTTAGGGTTTAGGGTTTAGGGTTTAGGGTTTAGGGTTTAGGGTTTAAGGTTTAGGGCTTAGGGTTTAGGATTTAGGGTTTAGAGCTTGGGGGCTTACTTCAGAATTCGGGTTTAGGGTTTAGGGTCTAGGGTTTATGGCTTAGGGTTCAGGGAGGATCGTTTAGGGCGTCTGCCCTCCGTCAACTTGCTGCCAGACTCTGCGCTGCCCTTCGAGCCACCCTAGTAAGCATGGCCTGCTTCAAATTCTGCAACAACCCTAAACCCGAAACCATAAACTCTTAACCCTACTCCCTAAACCCCAAACCCTAAACCACACATGTCATAAGGAGACAACAGGTTTTGGGCGCTGGTTTTGAACCCGACTACTAAATTTGAACAGGCCCCATACGTGAGTCACCAAAAACGATGCACCGCGCGGTTTGGAGGTTTAGTCTTTAGGGTTTGAAGTCCCAAAACTGATTCCGTAAAGCTTGCTTCTCCAAGCGCAGGAACAAGATGCCAGAACCAGGGAAAGTCCGTGCTCGCGGCCTTCCCAGCAGGGTTGCGAGTGATGGGGAGGTTTGAGCTAAAGCCCTAAACCCTACAGGGTATTTGGGGTAGGTTGTGCAGTTGCATGATATTCTAGAAATAATGCCGCATAGGGGGATGATCTTGGCAAAAAGTTGGTTCCGGCTTAAAACACTTCGCTTTTTTCGACATGGGCAAGCTGGCTTCAGGTGATTCTGGATTACTGTCCTCCCAAGTCCTGCGATTTAGAAAGCAGAAGTGGGCTGAACCGGGCTGATGGTTTGGAGTGACAGGCCCTGAGACCCTAAACCCTAAACCCTAAACCCGAAACCCTAAACCCCTAACCCTGAACCCTACACCCGAAACCCTGAACCCTAAACCCTAAACCCTCAACCCCGTTAAGGTTCAAGCGCTTTAAGCAGCAACCCGCGGCCTGATCTCCCCAGTCCGGTCCAAGGTCTCCCAATAAAATCGGGACTTCCTGGGAGTGCTTTTGGGGGCTAAGGGTTTGGGGTTTGGGGTTTAGGGTTTAGGGTTTCGGTATTGCAGGGTTTTTTTTGGGGGGTTTCGGGTTTAGGGTTTAGGGTTTCGGGTTTAGGGTGTAGGGTTTAGGGTTTAGGGTTCAGGGGGGTTTGGAAGCCCTAAACCCTAAAACCTCAACCCGAAAGCCCCAACCCTGAACCCTCAACCCTGAACCCTGGACCCTAAACCCCAATCCCTAGAATACCGAAACCCTGAACCCGTTTAGGGTTTGGAGCTTCAGGTTGATCAGACACAGTGAGCCTGGTACTGGGGTTCAGGGTGAGACGGCCTAAAACCCAAAGTCCCCCCCGCCCCCCCCCCCCCCCCCCCCCCTGCCCCGCCCCTTCCCCCCCCCCCCCTGCCCCGCCCCTTCCCCCCCCCCCCCCAAACCGCAAACCGCAAACCCTAAACCCTAAACCCTAAACCCTAAACCCTAAACTAAACCCTAAACCCTAACCCTAAACCCTGAACCCTAAACCCTAAACCCTAAACCCTAAAAAAGCCAAGCGGCCACCTCAGAGGTTTCGCCGGCACGTTGCCTTCGAAGTCCTTCGGAGGACCAGGGCCCTTCGATTCTTCGATTCTGGTGGGGGCGTTGGGTTGGCGGGGGGGGGGGGGGGCGTTGGGGCTTGGGGCTTGGGGTTTAGGGTTTGGGGTTTCAGGGCTGAAATTCCGACAGAGAAATAAAGAAGAGAGAGAGAGAGACTCACGCTGAGTAAGTGAGTGAGAGTGTGAGAGAGTAAGAGTCAGAGTGAGAGAGTGAGCGAGCGAGAGGGAACGAGAGCGATAGGGAAAAGGAGGTACTCTGAACAAGATGAGATGAGATCAGATGACAAGAGCATAGTGAGAGAAGATGAGATGACTTGAGAAAACTTAGTGCGATGCAATTCAGGAGAGCATAGTGCAGTACAGTATACCATACTAGAGACATTAGAGCACCGCATGAGTACGACAGAGTAGAGAAGCGCGCCTGCGGCCCCCAAAAAAAAAGAATAAGGGTACTGCTGTGCAACCCAGTCCGCAAACCTCGATATAGATACTCAAGATCCAAAACCCTAAACCCCTAAACCTAAAACACCCTACACCCTCAACCCTAAACCCTAAGCCCTAAATAACCCTAACCCCCCCAACCCTTAAAACCCTAAACCCTAAACCCTAAACCCTAAACCCTAAACCCTAAACCCTCAACCAACCCTGGCTCCGCAGTCCTCCCTGATCCCAGAGCGCGTGGCCTCGTCGAGGAAACGGGAACCCAGAGGCTCGCGAAAGGCCGAGGGGCGGGAGGAGATCTCCCACTCCCCAAAGAGCCACCTCGGTGGGGTTTAGGGTTTAGGGTTTAGGGTTTAGGGTTTAGGGTTTAGGGTTTAGGGTTTAGGGTTTAGGGTTTAGGGTTTAGGGTTTAGGGTTTAGGGTTTAGGGTTTTAGGGGGTTTGTGGGTTTAGGGTTTCGGGTCTGCCCTAAAATCCCTAAGCCCTGAATGACTTTTGGTGCCCGGCGTTTTGGGGCGCTTTGGGTGTTGAGGTTCGGGAGGGTGCGAGGCTGGTTCAGGAATATTTTTACAGGGTTGGCCCTGTAACCTGAACCCCACGTCCTGTTAGGGTTTATGGTTTCTTAACTGAACTTGGAACTCTAGCAAAACTAATAAACTTAGCTGTTTCTTAGGAATTATAGTTCTCAAAATTATAAATTATTCCCCTAGTATCCCTAACGTTCAGGGGTTTAGGGTTTAGGGTTTAGGGTTTAGGGTAAGAGTGCTTGGAGGGGCTCAGAAGCCCACCTTCCACAATTAACTTTTCTGTTCGAGCACGCACTGCTTCAAGCAGGAGCCGAAACAATTCCCAAAGTCATCCCCTGAAAGCAACCCTTACGCGTGCACTGGGACATATAGCCAGAAAGCCTACCCTAGCTTAAAGGGGCCCTAATTGCCCTAAATTGCCCTAAACCCTAAACCCTACACCCCAAACCCTAAACTCTAGTTCAACCCGAACCGCTGGATGAAGAGTTACCATTCAAGTTGCGCTTGAAGTAGCCGGCCAGCGGGCTTTAAGGACCAGGGCTTGCCCTAAACCCTAAACCCTAAACCCTAAACCCTAAACCCTAAACCCTAAACCCTAAAGGCTCTTGATCCCGATTATGGGAGTCCGAAAACCGACACCCTACACCCTACACCCGAAACCCTACACCCAAACCCTAAACCCTAAACCCTAAACCCTAAACCCTGGATTGCGCGAACCAGGTGCCCTGGGTAGGCCGCAACTTCATCGGCGCCCCAGAGAAGCCGGGGGTTCCGCAAGGACGCCTCTTCAGCTTTGGGACCAGATTTTGGGGGTTTTGGGGTTTTAGGGCTAGGGTTTAGGGTTTAGGGTTTAGGGTTTAGGGTTTAGGGCTTAGGGCTTAGGGTTTAGGGTTTAGGGTTTAGGGTTTAGGGTTTAGGGTTTAGGGTTTAGGGTTTAGGGTTTAGGGTTTAGGGTTTAGGTTAGGGTTTAGGGTTTAGGGTTTAGGGTTTAGGGTTTAGGGTTTAGGGTTTAGGGTTTAGGGTTTAGGGTTTAGGGTTTAGAGCCCTGAAACCTTGCAGCCCAGGCTGCAAGAGGTGATGGGACTTTGGGTTTGTGTTGAAGGTTTGGGGGTTTAAGGTTTAGAGTTTAGGGTTTAGGGACTTT